AAAATGATCACTAGATTTTCCCGTTGAGAGATACGCAGATGGGATTGGTTGAGTGCGGAGTAGCTCGCCGGCGGGCCAGGGTTCAATCGTAGAAGCAAATAGTTGAGATTTTTTTGGTAACAATAAATAAAATTTATTATACAATAAATCGTACAATGTACAATTGAATAGCGCTGATGTTAAACGATGGTCTGTTCGCAAGTGTATCTATAGATATCTGTATGCCAACGCGTGTGTATTGCGCGGATATGCGCGGGCGCGTTATTCGATCACCAGATCGCGGTATCGGTTGAATCGGGATTTCGGCGATTACGGCGGCGATGTTTTTGCGTACTTAAGGCGGTCGCGAATCGTCGCGGATGTGGTTGCCTCGCAACGGCGGTCATAAGTTACGTGGCCGTCAGTATTTACGCATCCGATTCGTTCATGGATCGTACTTTAGTGGATTCTTGGCGACCTATTATCGTGTGGATCGCGGCGCGTAAAAATGGCTAACTGGAATTAACAAGTGCAAGCCGATTGTTCGGGTACGCTTGAGAGTGGACTAGCGATCGGCCGGGAACACCCGGGCGGTGATGGGAAACCCTCGCCACTGCGATACGCTGTTCTTGGAAGCTCACGGAGCGCGATCGAGAATACCCGAGCGGAGACGAGTTACTCTCACCTGCGGATGTGCGTTTCGTATACGGAGGTGAGCAGTTTAGCGGTTCGCAATTGCGTGCCGGTTTACCCGGAGCAGGGAACACTCCAACTCGTGTTCTTCTCGCAGTTGCCGGAGATCGGTTTAGCGGTCGGGATATAGAGAACTTCTACATTAACCGGGAATTACCTGATGGCGGCGGGATACCCTCATTACGGTTTTACACTTAGCTTCTTTCTAGGAACGGAGCGCGGATCGGCTCGTAGAAGCGAGTCTCGATTCAAGGAAGATCTGCCTCAGCACGGAGGAACAGCTTTTTATACCCTCCACCAGAGGTTGGCAAAACGCTGAAATTGGGCACGGCCGCGAGTGCCCGTCTATTGCACATCTCAGGAACGTATCTAATATTTTTTACACCTTGGGATAAAGTTTTGCATTTCACACTTACAAAAATAGCGTTGCACGTATATATGAACGATAGTGCATCTTAAATTACTTGTACTCGAATCTTTGTAATATTGTAATAAAATTTTTTTATAACAGTTTAGTTAAACCGTTTAAAGATGAAACATGCAAAAATATGTTGTAATATATAGGACTCAAAATGCATAAGTTCTTATAAATTCAACTTATATTTAGTTAATTTTTTATTAATTAAATAAAGAAATGTGCCCTAGCATGTTTTGATTGTCCTAATAAGCATTCATTATAGGAAAATTTTAATTAAAATGCTTATTTTAATTAACATTTTTCTATTTTTAAATATTGTAAGTTGTCAAAATTTGTGCTTTAGCATATAATTCATTAAAAATTGTGTAATATAATTATTACATTTAAATATGTTTAAATATGTTTAACGAAAATTTAAATATAACAAAAAAATAAAACAATAATATAAACAATAACAATGTATTAAAATATAAATTTATAATATAATCATAAAATTATGAATACATATATCACGTTTAACAGAAATTAGCGTTTGAAAATTATATTTTTAAATCCAGAAGAATAGTTCTTTTTCCGCGAAGAAAATTTTCAACAGTTTCAAAATAAACATCTGCTAAATATCGATCAGTTAAACGCTCAAAATAAAAGAAAAACAATAACTAAGCAACGGTATAATCAAATTTTGCTCTTGTCTAGAACAATCAGACACACTTGCGATCTTGTAATTTAACATTTGGATAATCAAAGTAATAATAATAAATATAATGAGTTTAGTATAATGAGTATAATGAGTATATTTGAGTATAATGAGTATATGGTTCTACATATTCATATGACAATTATTTTCTATTATGAATTTAAATAAATCGCGATTATGCGAACAGTTAACAGATTCACATTTGAATGCAATAATTCGTTGTGCCAAAACAATAACTGATATATCGTATATAATATCGAAAAACTATGAATCAAATACTAATTAAATGTTATAAGAAATTGTTTATTTAATATTGTTGTAAGAAATTGTTGTAAGAAATGTTTATTTAAAATATAGATAGTTATTATTTTATGCTAATTCTGGGATTGAATTTGTGCGACACAATATCTTTTGACTCCTTGAACAACACGTTCAACGAACAGACGTTCCTGCTATCCCTTCTCTTTCTTTTATTACGCCTAGCGGCTTAACGCTAACCCTAGCGCGCTCAACTGTTGCCTGCACTGGGCGCCCGCGAGCAGTGCCCACTTGCCGATCCCTGCCCTCCACGATTCGATATTTGGTCGGGTTCGGAACGGTTCGTGAGTGATAATAAAATCGTTCTAATTAGTCGATCGCTCTTTTTATCTCCGGCGGTCTTTGGCGATTAATTGCTCGATTAATTTCGGAGATTGCTCTTGCTGAGCCGGGATCTCCTCTTTCGCTC